TTCGAGGCCAGCCTGGGCTACCAAGTGAGCTCCAGGAAAGGCGCAAAGCAACACAGAGGAACCCTGTCTCAAAAAACCAAATAAATAAATAAATAAATAAATAAATAAATAAATAAATAAATAAATAAAAAATAAAGGTAAAGCCAGAGGAAATTTTTCAAGTAGGCAGAACCTGATGCCGGTCTCCTCACTCAGCTTCCCCACAAGTTGTACCACAGGTTTCCCAGCTGTGGGGGGTACCGCCAGCACCTGCTCTTTCTTGTAGACCAGTTCATTGCTACCTTAAGTATGCACTGAAACATGTCATGCTCAGAAATAAAACAACAGGGCTTGTTTTCAACTTTAAGGGCAAAAGAAAGGGTCTTCAATAACATTTTTGCCTACACAACAGTTCTCAGGTGAGTTTAGAGCATCACCCTGTGTTAATCGTATGTCATAGTAACAAACATGTATGTATTTTTTAAAACTCAGGTCGGCTAGAAGATCAATATATAATTCGATTTATGAAGGAAAAGCTCAAATCTATGCCTTGTAAGAACCAAGGTTACATTTTGGATGGCTTCCCAAAGACCTATGATCAAGCAAAAGACCTGTTCAACCGTAAGTGTGGGTGCTCTCTTGGTTCTGTGTGTAAGTGTGGGTGCTCTCTTGTTTCTGTTTATAAGTGTGGGTGCTCTCTTGGTTCTGTGTATAAGTGTGGGTGCTCTCTCAGTTCTGCCTGTTTATGCTCTCAAAACTCAGAACCTTAGTATTTTATTTGTTTTCTTAAATCTGTGTTGATTTATTTTTCCCCCTTTGGTTTTCTGAGACATGGTTTCTCTGTATAGTTTTGGTGCCTGTCCTGGAATTTGCTTTGTAGACCAGGTTGGCCTCAAACTCACAGAGATCCATTTGCCTCTGCCTCCTGAATACTGGGATTAAAGGTGTGCGCCACCACTGCGCAGCTAAATCTGTTTTTTTTTTTAAATTTACTTTGTTTGTTTTTATTTATTTATTATTTTATTTATTTATTTATTTTTTGCATTCTTACTGTTT